ACTGAACATATTTTATATTCATCATTGAAACCGAAACTTATTAAATAAACCTTTTATTGAATTAAAGGGGTATTCTACTGTAGAGGCATGAATTTCGCCCGGTTTTTGAAGCGCTGTATAAAGCAAACAAATCATATGTTTACTATCGATTTTTTTATCATTTGTTTATTGATATTTTATTATTACATGAAAAAATTATTTAAAAAAAAATAATTAAAATTCACAAAGTTATGAGCAGTCAAAGTGGGGGCTCAAAAAAAGAGGGTGTCCTGGCGTGCATGATTCCAACCCTCCTGGTGATCCGAAACATAAAAAATAGATGAATTCTTAATTATTATAGATGCCGCTACCGTATGACCCTTGGATAAGTTAAAAAAACATTTTTTGTTTGAATGGCGGCAGTTTGAAAAAAAACATTTTTTTTCATATTTTTTTTAACAATTCCGATTTTTTTAAAAATACTAAATGAAAAGTTATAGTTTTGGGCAAGGTCCACGCGATAAAGCGATGTATAGAGAAGATCCTCCCCGAATTTGAAGTAAATGGGTTCATTAGAACTCGAGATATCCTTACCGCCAGCTCGAAAAAAGTAGTTCCGAGAAAAACGCGTTCAAAGTTTTGAGACAAGTCGGACCCGAACCGAGGCCACGTCACTAAAACGGCTATAACACAGGAAATATTAGTAATTTTGAAAAATCCTTTTCATGAAAACTTTGAAAATATGAAAAAAAAAATTTTTCGATTTTTTCAAAATTATACAGTAGAATACCCCCTTAAAGAGTAATCTTTTTTATAAAATTATTCAGTAGCAACAACAATGTAAGCGTGAAGTTTCGCCTAAGAAAAAACAATCGACCTTATAATTACACATTTACATACTCTCCTTATGACTAATTCTTTCTAAATATCGTAAAAAATTTCAATGAAATTATCTTATATAAATTTTGTTATGAAACAACTAAAGAAATTCCTTGTATTAAACTACATTTCAACGAGAATAAAGCTATTGACATTTTCTCTCCACCGTGATTCTCTATAGCATTTTCCGGATAAAATTGAAGGTAGTATCACATAAATTAAATTCTTAAATAAATACTTGTGCATATGAAGCAGGTGTTAACCACAAATTTCTTTTCGGCTCGTCTGGTCTCGGTGCGGCTGAAATCCGAACGCGGAGAAGCTCGAATATAAATCATAGGATATAAATCTTGGCCTGGTGCCGTCCCCCGTGTTCCCGGCCTCAGACTGCATAAAGCGCGCGAGATCCTTCCCCGAAAACTAGCGCGCGCAATAAAATATATTACGCTTTGGGAAAACACACGAAAAACTGCGAAGAAAACAAACAGAAAAAGTAACTAGCTGTAAGTGGAATTCTGTCTTAAGGCAATTAGGGCATCGTGCCTTAAGGCAAATTGCTGGAACTTCCCGTACCAAAAATTTTTATTTTTTTTAAAAACGATTAACATTTTTGAAAAAAAATTACTTTGAAAAAATAAGATTTTTGAGAAACTATAAATTGGACAAAAAATTAGTTTTTTTTTGAAAAAAAAAATTTTTAAAAAAAATTTTTTTCAAAAAAAAAAATTTTTTTTTGAAAAAAAATTTTTTTTCTTTATTTTGACATATTGTGGAAGATCTGAACTTTTTTTTCAAAGCAATCGTACTGCTTTAACTACATAGGGACAAAATATAAAGCGCGTAAGCGCCGCGTCGCTGTCTAACGCATAAGCATTGGTACGGAACCCATAGGAATGTTAACAAAATGTATACTTATTGTTAAAATCTCTATAAAATATCTGATAATTTGATGTGCATATGTCTAATGATCATTTTTGACCGCCAAATGGCTCATTTTTTTACTTTTTTCTCTATATCTCCGAAACCGCTGGACCTACCTTTATGAAAGTTGTATCGATTCTTCATCTTGTCAATACAAATAAAATGTTTTTTGAATTATTCAAATCGGACGCTCCGTTCTCTTAAAAACTGAGTTACCGTTTTCGGAACTTTTTGCCCCGTATCTTCGGAACGGCTTGACCTGCCTTTGCCAAAAACTAATCAGCACGTCTCCTTATCAATACGGATCGAATGTTTTTTGAATTATTCAAATCGGTTGATCCGTGTTCCCGAAATCGTCGACGAAAATTTGTATCCGCACATACATACACACACATACATACATACACACACACATACACACACACATACACACACACACACACACACACACACACACACACATACATCCATTTTTTCTAAGGTATGCCAAAATGTTCAGAAACCTCTGAAACGTAAAGATATATAAAAATTTTCATTTTCGATTTTTTTGCGATTACTATAACTTACCCTACGGGAAGTTAAAAAAACGATCGCACCCTCTAGCTACTGGGTTTTCATAGTGCGAGGGTTGGGGTAATTGAGTAAATTCAATTAGTCATTTTGCAACATGATAACTGACAATCAATCGCAATATTCCTACATTCACTACTCTTTAAAGAAAATCGGTAAGGTAAAGGTTTTGAAGAATTCAGGATCTTTTTATCCAATTATGGTTGATACATAAAGGCATACATAAATTCGACATGAAGGCAATAAGCAATGAAATACGAACAAAAGCCGCCTCGAAGATCATCCAAACTCACTTGCTTGAGAACACCACAACACTACCAAGACAGGATTGAAAAAACAATTCATGTTGCATTAGCATACGCCAATTTTCAAATACTCTGGCAATGTCCAGAAGATTTTGTGTTTTTGAAGTCATTTTTTAATCCTTTAGTTTCACTAGTTGTGCATTTGGGAACAGGTGTTTAAATTACTATATAAATAAAAAAATGTTTATATTAATTCTTAAGAAAAGATATTCAACAATACTCTTGAAATCTTCATAAGTATAAAAGTATTTCAATATTGCTTTATTGATATTTTCATGGATTGATGCAGCAGCCGAATTAGACGCAAAAACGTGAGAAATTTAGATTCTAGATTTTTTTTATTGTTATACGACCGTTTTTACATCCATCCCCTAAGATAATAAAAGTAAAAATTAAAAATATAAATTGGGCTCGAAAAATATAAAATTTTATTACCAATGAATTGAAATTGACAGAATTTATTATATGATGATCCTTTTCTTCAATCTTGTCTTGATTCGTAATGTTGTGACAAAATTTTCTGACAAATGAGTTTTAGATGATTGGAAGATTTACATGGAAATATCCATGAAAAAAAGTTAAATTATAAGTTGTCTCTTAACAATTAACTTTAAATATATAAGACTAAAATGAAACTATCATAGACATTTGTGATTTATCCATGTTCCGATAAGTAAAACTTTGGATTAATGAAATGGACACAACCTAAATTTGGAGAAAGAAATTGCCTTACACAATCATGTAAAAATAAATATTGCCATTCAATTAAATGCAAAAATAAAATAGGCAGATAAATGATTATTGGAAAATTTACTGATTTTCTTAATGTGCAATGTAATGCAATTAATAATTATTTTATTAGTTAGTTAAATTTTTTGAATGTCCTTTACTGAACAGTTGTAAATAAAAGAGATAATAAAATTTTATAAGTTAGTGTTGCTATAATTACTTTTAGTAATTGTAAAAAAAATGACAATATAATTTTCTGATGAAGAAACGTCGAAACCGAAGTTTGTTCAATATACTTATTATTCATTTAAAAGGAATTGAAACCATTTGGTATCAACAAAAATTTAACCTATTTAAGCTTATAATTAAACATTTTTTGCTTTTGACAAACTCTCTCAATTTCAATTCAGTTCAGAAACAATTTATATAATTTTATAATAGTATGATGGTACATTGATATTCATACACTACTCAGGAGTATTTTACTATAATATTTAATTTATAATATAGTATATTTGATTAAATAGATAATGTTAGTTAAAATAAATAGTGACAAAAAAGTAAAGAAAACGTATTTTAAAAAAAAAAAATTAAAAAGCACAATTTTCATTGATAGTATGTTTCATTGCCACCAGTGTCAGATTAGGGTATAGTTTGGCATGGCGCCTAATTTGCGTACAGACTAAAATCAATTGACTTATGTCATCCAGTATAGCTTCAACAGCTAATGTAAGAATTAATTTTAATGATATGCAAACTATGAATAATCCTTTAATTACTATGTGCACAGACCCTCTGTCTACATTAAGGTATCGCCGACCTCTCTTCAGGGCGGTCTAACTGCATCAAACAGAGCGAGCAAACGAGACGTGAGCGTTTCGGGTATAAATTCTGAAATGCAGTCTCCGGGAAGGAAATTTAAATTGTTTCATTGCTAGATATACGTTTTCCCGAGAAGAATAATGACCAAAGACTTTTTATTCCATTTGTCACTGTGTTTTCATGGCTATTCTATATGCAGCGTTCGTATTGATAACAATTAAATACGCTTTTTCGAGCGCATTCGGATAAATAAATTGATAATAGAATACTGCGAAGACAGAGTATTTCATTTTTATGAGAAATTTAGAAATAGAAATAGTATATATATATCGCCTATGATATCGATATATGAATAATATCTGTTTTACTGATTCGCCTTCACAGTCTGGTATCAGCTTGAAGCTTAGCAGCAGGAAGAACCTACAATTTGTTGGGTACCGTCGCAGGATGGGGCACAACAATATATATATATATATATATATATATATATATAAGGGCCACCCTAATATATATATATATATATATATATATATATATATATATATATATATATTAGGGTGGCCCTTAATATGGATGTTTTCGAATTTCCTTGCTCCAAGGGTCTCAAATGCTTCCAAATTGATAAAAAACAATTCTCTGAAAGTTTTTGCTCTTAATATTAACTTTAAGATAGTCCGCACTCCAGCCAAATTGTCTAATACCTAATAGGTTTTTTTCTGATTTCCAAGAATGGACTAGGTTTGACAGCAATTCTATACTTAGTATCCAAATTAGTTCAAACGTTTTCTGAATCACTTTTCAATATTGTCACTCATTTGAAAATGATGCACCTTCACTGTTACACCATATTCAATATTCTGGTGGTTTCCCGCAACAGTATCAATTATTGAATTACCCATTGTGTGATTATTTGGAGAATTACCTTCATACACTAGAAGCTTTGATTATTTCTTAATACTATTATCAATGAAGCTGTAGTATCAGCATCCCATACTGATACATCCAGAATGCAATATATGTTACCTCTGCTATTCATACTCGGCTCATCCATGGACATATATAATAAGGAGAACCGAGTATAAAGTGATATACGTCTGGGCAAATACAGAGGACAATTGTTACTATCTCTGATGTATTGTATTTGACTTAGGATAATATTTGTTGAGCTAAATCACGATTTACATTGCACTACATAACACGTACTCACTGCCCAAGAGAGATAAACTTTGCAAACTACACGAGCGGATTTACAACGATAAACTACCTCGGTTAAATTCGAATTTATTCCCATCAGTTTTACGATACATCAAACATTAAGGTATTTTATTTAAGTTAAAGTGTCTATATATTGGATGGAGAAAGTATTTGCTGAAAAACGTAGCAGCAAAATATTATATTTTTCTATGAAAAATTTCTGATACTTTTGCAAGCATAATTATGTATGAAAATGATTTTCTTTAGGTACTAGCCCTAATCATTCTATTCTATTTTATAAATTTTATAAATTCTCATTTATAATTCTGTTAATAATTTCATGAATCTATGATAAAAATGTATGAACGCATTTCTGTAGTAGGTACTCATTGGAATTTATTATTTCATATATAATTACAATATAAATTATGAAATCAATTATTTCAAAAATTCGCGTTTTTATCGATGGAATAAAATTTTTCAATAGAGAAATATATACACTGAAAGATTCTTAACACAGAACGGCTAACAGAAATGTGTTACATCATTTTTATTTTGCGACATGTGGCACATGGCTCAGATATGATTTAGACGGAATTTTTACAACCATCGCACATACAGTAACATCCGGCCATTTTCCAACTATCTTTGGTTCACGGTTGACACATTTTTCTTTCCTGTACACAATGATACAAGGGAAGAAATCTACGTAAACTGGCAGCTAGTAGACTTTGAAAAATATCAATAGATACTAAATATACTTAATATAAGTCATTAAAATTTTTTTATTTTTTTTGTTAGAAATTGATTGATTAAAACAGCAATCTTGCTAAACAATTATGATGTTTAGTCAGCCTATTTCTATATATTTTTTTTTATTGAAATCGAACTCTAAGAGGTGCATACTACTGGAACAAAATACACAGTGGTCTTATTCAAAAATTGGCTGATGATAGTAACATTGTCGCGACTCTATAACCTGAAGAAAGCCATAATCACAATTGTGTCAGATGTAGAGCGTCATTGTCATGTTGTAGTCAGCTCAAACACGTATCGCGCCTTCAAGGCTTTATTTTGAGGGCGGTCTTGTCATGTTTTTTGGACGTTTTTTGTAATTATTTTTATTCAAATAAACGAATTTATGCTAGAATTAGCGATTTGAATCAATTTTAATGCAATTATCTAGTGTTCGATCAATGTAGATTATTTATTCATCTTTGTTCAATTTCGGATAAAATGACTACAATGGACAAAATGACATATTACTACTATATAGCAAGAACTACAGGATAGTTAAGTCGAGATCGAGAAAAAATAAAAATGAAACCCTTGAAAGGTGATTGCCTTTTAAATTTTACTCTAACTACTTTACCCTAAGAAGAAATTTGGTTTGTTGCAAAACCCGCTTGTCCCGTTTTGAGCCCGACGAAGTTTGGTTACCATGTATGATTTGTACCCTTTGGGCTCATGCGTTATGTGCTGAAGACCAAAGAGGGCCAACCGATTTATTCGTGAACTGTTTCCTAAAAAATAGTATATCAGTATGTCCTTACCTTATACGCCTAGTTTGATCTCAAACATTTTAATCATATATTTTTTAATCAGATTGAGAATATCAAAAACGCTCAGGAATCTTACAAATGACTATCTTCAATTTAGTTCATTTCACAAAATACATCTTTTATCAAATGACATCCAAACCTTTGTCTATTCCCACTGTGTATAAAACGTGTGCACAATGCAGTATTTTATTGAAATATATACACACTGATATACTGGATGCACACAGTCGCACATGTTTACTCCATGAAGGCACACAGCAACCGAGTATCGTTTTTCAATTACTTTTTCCTGGGAACTGTGAGCCTTTGTTATCGTTATGAAGCACAAAGGCGTGCACCGTCAAGAATGAAGAAATACCACCCACCGGTGTCTGTCGAAAACAAAAAGGCAATAACAAAAAACTAGAGCGATAGATTCGTTGTACGGAATTTTAATAGCAAAAACCCCATATATTAGGTTGTAATGTCTCGTTAGAGCAGTGGAAAAAAATAGATTAATCATGTGAAGTAATTAAAAATGTTAAGTTACTTTGTAGTGCCCATTTGGGGCGATACGGCAATTCAGAAAATGATGTTTTTATAGTATATAGAGTGATCGTATCATTAATCTTCCGGAATTATGCGAAGTGTTGAGATTTTTGTATTATAATTATTTCACCAGCAATCAGAACTTTTACCACTTACTTTTAGAGCTTGATGTACAAATATCTGTAGCAATGCCCCGAATGACTATTTTCATATGATATATATTTTCAAGTGAAAATTGACATCACTACTGCTTGATTGCATTTCCAGTTGCACAACCAAAGGTGTTGCATCTGTACTACGAGCGACCACAACGAATAATATGTTTTGTTATGATTTTCAATTAGAGTCAATCTGAGTGTTTATCTTATTTTTCATGAAAATATCTTTTTCGAAATATTTTTATCTCGAAGTTTATTATTAACGGTTAAAACTGTGATTCGTCAGATTTTTTTATGAAGAATGTACTTACCGGTGGAGCGTTTATGTTTTGCAGCGCGGGTGTAGAATAAAAATGCACTTAGAAAAAACACCGACGACAATGTTTCAGCTCTTCCTACAACACCGGTTACCTGGAAATAAAAGAAAATGCTATTATAATCAAAAATATCCCACGTTTACTGAGTTTATTTTTAATTACTTTATATAACATATATTTAATCTAGGATATTCATTCAAGTTTTCTCAAAGTATCACTATTACACAATTTTTTTATCAGAATAACCATCTAAACATGTCAAAGATGTTCGAACCAAAAAAAAATTAGAAAAGAACCAAAAAAAAATTAGAAAAATTTCCACACACTCTACATTGAAATTGAGCAATTTCAATACTGAAAATGATTCTGATTGGTTTTAATTAGCAAAAAAAAACGCAATTTTTAAAATTTTGCAGAATTTTCAAAAAAAAAAAATAAAGATTAATTTTTTTTTTAATTTTACAACGAAATTTTCAGAATTTAAAGGGGACATTTATTTGCAGTTATGATGTTACGTAGTTGCGTACTTGGTTTATACCTATTATATCTACTAGAAATGAGAGTGGATGTATATACTGTTAAGAGAGTGTTTTATTTTGTATCGTTCGTTTGAATATGGTATTATTTGCTGATAGTAATCCTTGCAAGGAGTCAATAGTATTAATGCTCATAAATCCAATTGTGACAAATCATTTGGCACGTACCGCGGAGAATTAAGTATTGTACTTAGAATTTTGTGTCCTCTGCATTATAGCTATATTCAATTTGTAAGCACAGCTCCAGAGATCAATTCCGTAGGTCCAGATTGGTTTGATGATTGTTTTATATAGCAGCAATTTATTTTCAACGGAGAGCTTAGACTTTTTACGCATAAGTCAATAATAGCCAATTCTTTCATTTTGAATATTATTTGCTGCTTTTTCATTTTTATGTGACTTTTCCAAGTAAGTTTGCTGTCTAAATAAAGACCAAGATATTTCACTATGTTTTATTTTGGAATCTGAACGTTATTTATATAAATTGGAGGGAACGTCCCCAATTTTACGTCTCAGAGTAAAAGTAATATAATAGACATAATATGCATTCGTAATATACTATATTGACAACGAATTTGAAATTGCAATAATAGTCAAAAGTATATAGGCCAAAGCTAATTAGTTGAACATGCCAATTAATGTTAACAGATGTAATATTTCTTTTTATAAAATACACGGATAATAGTGATCCATTTAATGAACATGAAGATGTTTTTCCTGTTGTCCATTGTCTATAAATACCGTATAACTACCAAATGACTTTTTCCTAAGCATGTCAAAGATGTTCGAACCACTATGGAGAAACCTACCCCGCGGGCTTGCTCCTGTGCCGTGCTTAATCGCCGGGATCGCTGCGTCGGATTGTGTTCCATTACCGAATTCCGAAACGGTCGGAGCAAATAAGCGGACGATGTCCGTTTCCGTCCTCATACCAGGAAGGAAATAAAGGCAGGAATGCGGTGGCAACCGATTTGCTAATGCTGCGAGTGGCGGAAGACGGCGTGCGGTGTAAAGATTTCGTTTTGTGGCCCGTTTCCGTAAAAGATAGGAAAGAAAGTATAAGAAAAACAAAATGCTTGTAAGCATCTCAATTCTTGAGGATTCGTGTTGTTTGCTAAAGAAAATTATTCGTATGCGGTGGAAGTGCGAGATCATTTAGGAGAAAATCGTCATGCGTTACATTTAAGTCAGTATAGTTTGGGTAATGGTATCAACTATTACAGAAACCTATTAGCTCAATATTACAAATGCGAATTATACAGCTCTACAAACAGCATATATTTTCGAATGCAGTTTTTATCGCTGAATACGAATCTAAGGTCAAAATTTGGTTAAAAATTAATTTAATTGTAAACGTTAACTGTAATCATTAGCTACGTACGCAACACAGAACCTATATATATATATATATATATATATATATATATATATATATGTACAAAAATTCAGATTTGAAATGTTGGTCATTTTTATAATTCAACCGTTTATCAAAAATCTTTAATATTTTAGTATGTTATTTTAGACTATAAAGTCTGTCGTCATACAATCGTTCATCGAAATCTCCAAAAAAAATCTTCAACGTTTAATTATGAAGAAACGGCTCGGAAGATCTTTACCAAAAACAAACCAATGCGATTCTCAATCAATTTATTTTGAACAGATTTTCAATTTGTAAAATCGGTTCAAGATTGTAGGTTAAAACTTGAAACTGACAAACATTTGGTATCATGCGATTTAGAATGATTTGGAACGTCGAGAAAACAAATAATTGGCAAATCGTATTTAAATAAATAAATACATAACAAATTTTATTTCTGTGTAAAGTTAATAAATTGACCTATCCTAGTCTTTTTCAGTTAATAGAAAATTATAAATAACACATCTAAGCCTTCTTTTACATTTGAATTCTGGTTTAAATAGTCGGGCATCATTTCAAAGCTTTGAACCAGTTCCTCTAACAAAGCAATTTATTGCTCATGAATTCATGCATCTATTCCTCCGTATCTCTTATAATATGAAAACTTACGAAATGTTAATGAATGTACCAAATTTGGAGATGAATTTGTAGTTGGTTAAGAATTTGAAGAAAAGCGCACATGTTCCGCTAAAGTCAGGCTTTGTAATTTAAAACTTGGAAGCTGAACGAAGGTAGAAGTTTCAAATAGCTAAGATTTTGCTGATGAAATACATTCAAGCGTAACCTAACTTTAGTCATATCCATGGACCGAAGTTGAGAAAATCTTGGCAAAAGGTTTCTTTGCCAAGTATACAAAGTGGTGAAGAATCGTAGAAAGCTAGAATGACTTAATTTAAATAAAGTAATTATAAATAAATTGTGAAATAGTGATACTTTGAGAAAACTTGAATGAATGTCCTAGATTAAATATATGTTATATAAAGTAATTAAAAATATTCGGTATTTATAGATGATGTACAATAGGAAAAACATCTCCATGTTCATTTAATGGATCACTATTGACCATATATTTTTAACAAGAAATATTCATCAGTTAACATTGATTGGCATGTGTAACTAATTAACTTTTCACTAATATTACTCTATAATAATATTATAATATGGACACTTTGGATTGAAGTCATTAATATAATTTTTACAATATCTATTATGTCTTACATGTGCATTTATCATATTGATGTGTGCATATGTATGTGCAATATAAGTGAATATATTATACGAATATAATATGTTTTAAAAAATATATCAATTATATAGGGAATGCAGGCTGAGATTAACCCTTTCGCTACGAGAGTGTTTTCATTGATCATGAGTAGTTCCACTGAACTGACCAGATCCAATGATATATTAATAAAAATGTTTTAAAAAATTTAAAAATTTAATAAAAATTAAGGAGACAACACTTGTATACACAGGTAGTCGCATGGATGTCGTCCATGGACGGCACTTGTAGCGAAAGGGCTACGAGTTATGCTGATTGTTCTAAGTACAAATATAGTTACCAATCTTATCTTGAGTCGGCAAAATATTATCTAACACCACTTTTTGTACCAGTTCTCGTATCACATTAGAATATACATATTTAATATATTTTTTATGCAAACTTTCTGTATAGATTTTCTTGGATGGGTTCGATCAAATACGATTTTAGAAGAACCAACCAAGTTTAGTAATATTTCATTCCTCCATTCGACGTACCGGCGCCGCTTGACGCTTGTGACAAGCGATGGCCCATTTATTAAAACCGATCTTGTCCTTATAGCTTACCCGGAATTAATTTAAAAGGATAGTAAAAATTGAAATTAGGATGAGAAAATTATATAGAATTTTTAGGTGTTTAGAGAAGAAGATTTGCTGTCTTTTTTGTTTCTATTGAATCCAAAATTTTGATTATTATTTGAATCAAAATTACTTTTGAATAATTTTCTTTTGTGAAGATGCGCTGTTCTATCAATAAAAATAATTGTCTAATAAAACAACTAAAAATAGAAATAGCTTTAACTAGTTATCTAGTTTTTGATTAATTTTTAATCATTGTTTTTGCATTCGTATTGATTACACAGATTCACAAAAAAGTTGTATGACAAATTCAGACCACTGTGTTATTATTTCACATTGAAGTTCAATGGCATTATAATAAGAATTTGTTTAACTAGTTTAACTTCGTATTGTTATTTATAGTATCTATATAGAAATATTAAATATGATCTCTATTTTTTAACATCGATATAAAACTTTCGTGTGAAGATGTATGGATTTTCTTTAATATGACAGTTCATGTTCACTGTAATTGAAGCTTTCCGCAGCCCTTCCGTTAAACTCCTTTAAGATTTTGATACAGATATATATATATATATATATATATATATATATTGTAGTGACGTTGATGACATGATGTCAGTATACAAAAGAATCAACCCCCCATCTCATGCTATTATTAGATACAGATATGTTATTTGCACTCCAGTTAGGCGCTACATCGGGGCTTTGAGCTGTCTATCAAACTCCAGACTTGACAAAGAATAGCTTTTGTTCGCTACATAATATCACAAAAGCTTTATTTGTCTTCGTTATAACTTCTTTGGTGTATTGTAAAACATTTTGTACATCTAAAGAGCTAGTCTTGCATGTACGACTAAGATAAGCGGCACAAGTTGCTTTAATAGTTTCATAATGTGACTTCAAATTAAACATGTACTGGTAATTCATATAAAGGAAAAATATGATTTAAGCTTTTAGCTTTTGTTAAGAATAATACAACACATGTAATACTAATTATTATATTTAACTTGAATAAATTTTAACTGAATAAATAAATTTATAAAAAAAAATTTAATGCTAGAACCATATTTCACCAACAAGGAAAAATCCGTTTTCGTTCACGTCCAACATAGTCAAAAAGGTTTCACCGTTCGAGGCGACAACCGTTCGAAGTTTCTAATGAAATTGTCGAGAACGAACTTGTTAGAAATTCGTGAGTTCAAAAGATAGAATTAATTGGATCAGTTCGATGTTTGAGTCCCCACGTCTGAAGTTCAAATTGCTTACGCCAGCGTCGAGACGATGTGAAAAATGCTAGTGGTGGCGGAAATTTCACATTCCTCTTTGATTTATGTTGATTTCAGAGGAAAATTAGATGAAAAATTGCGACTTTAAATTATATTAAAAGAAATAAAATGGATTATAATTTGGAAAATAAAAATTCCGAGAGAACGTGAACTTATGTGTATAAATACATATATATGCTTATATTTATACATAAATATATTAGTGTTTCAGTAAAATTCAAAACATTTTTCCATTACCAATGAAAATTGATATCGGATGATATCATGAGTGTACCAATAATTGCCACCATACATGTTGGTAGTTATTTTTGTTTGAATTCTGTAATCAACAAAACCATTTAAAGTAATTATTTTTCTCAATCAATTTATTTTTTATATGAAATGTATAAATACGTTTCGCAATCAATCATAGCTGACACCGGTAGATAAATTACAAATTTATGAATTGTACGATCGTTTTCATCAGAAATAATTGAATCAAAGCTTTCGTTTATCTGGTAATTGAATATTGAATTGGATAGATTTTTTTCGCGGGAATTTATTTATATAATATTATATATATATATATATATATATATATATATACATATCTAGTAGTACGTTAATTCAATTTTTAGATATGGTTCCAAATCTGTAGGCAACCAAAATTTACAGTAACAAAAAATATTACTTAATTTCAATCGGATTAAGTAATAAGTTTTTAGCTAATATATCATCAGATAATATAGTAGTGTAGATAATATATATATACAATAAATTATATATATTATTATATCACTCGTTATATCAGATATCACAGTAAATTTTGATAAAAGTTTATGTTAAACCTCAAATATTTGAAAAAATACTTAATTCCTTTATTATTTTCGAATTTCGAATTTCATTAATTGAAGCAAGTAAGCTTATATTCATTTCAATAGCTTTCATATCGACGTATTAAATTGGTACGAGATTACTATAATAAATAAATACTCTTAATAAAGTATCTATCCACTTATCATATTTGTTTCAAAAAGTAAATTCGCATCTTTTCACTTTTAATGAAATGTTTGTTTAAAAAGAAGTAGATATTATTATGGTAAATAGATTAATAAAATATCAGTACAAGCATTCAATTTCCTTATTACAAAGCATAATGTTCGAACTCTTCTTATTAAAAACAAATGTGAGCAGGTAATATCAAAGTCATAGCAATGCATCGATACAAAATAATGAACTCTCTTAACAATATATTCATCCACTCTCATATTGAATATAACAAAGTATGCACCTAACTGTTACAATGTGTTGAAGCCCTTTGTATATTCAAAAGAAATGTGAGCAAGTA